GAGCACTAAACAAGCATGTAAGAAATATGTATTTATAAGTAGTCTGTGATTTATAACAAGTATCAGGGCCTAAATTAATGTGCAGTTCTACACATTTTGTGCAGTTCGAAAATGCATTTGTGCAGCTGGAAATTGCAATTTGTGCAGTAACTTTTTCACATTTTTAATATTTTTACTTCCCGAGCGTAAGCTGTTGCTACTGACGCCGGTTCATCCGTTCACCGAAAAGAATCGAGGAATTTTTATGACTTTGTTTGCCTAGTTGGATCCTCAAGAAACCCCAGATGTGCTGTTTACAGTTTGTCACGTACCTGCATAACAATAACGCTTTTTAATGATTTCTAAAAAGCGCACAGCAAAAATTTATCAAATACGGAGTCGTGCTGCCTGCAGACCTGTTATCTTTATCAATCACTTTAGTTTTTTCTTGCATTGGTAATGCGCTGTGAATAATTTTCTTTTGTCCTATGACAAGTTTTATTTACGTTATTGCCGTCATCACAAATTTTTTATTGGTTAAATTAAGAACTAATCACCACATTTTCTCAAAAATGTGAGAATACCCAAGTCTTTATTTAATAGTGATAAAATAAGAATTATAATGTTCTTGACATTTTTGGTCCTCTGTTTTGAGAATACTAACTTATTCAAATCAAACTAATTGCTACGTGACATTATTTCTATGTATAGACATAAATACTTGAACTTTAGGGCTGACATGCGTGAGATGACATTTTATCCCGTTACTTATCTGCTTTAAATAATTTTACATTGTCTGTACTGTACTTGCAAGCGCAAATTCCAATAATTTGAGCTCCCACAACTCAGAGGCTGCGGGGATGTTATTTATGCCGCCGGTTTTTACTTCATAGAAATTGTGCTAAAGCGAAAATCACTAAATCAAATTTTATAATTTTTTAAAGAAGCGGAATTTGTCGAATTATATTTCAACGGCGAGGGAAGTTCTGCTGAAATAACCTTCGACCGTTTTTTTTTTATTACTAATTGAGATATCCAGTAAAAGAAAGCCGGATCGATACTCTGAAGGGCCGAGATGCCGAGGGTGTACCTCATGGATCGGAGAATCGGACCAGATGAGGGATGTTAATGCCCAGAAAACCCAAACACGTGTTACAACAATTTGCAAATTGCTACAAAAAAATTTTTGTGTTTTGTGCCATCCTGTAGTATAGCATTTGCCGTCGTCCTGTACATTGCTAAAAAAATTCACTTGGTTTTTTTGCCTGTGTAAATATTGTTAAAAGGTAAGTCATATATGAAGTAATTCTATAAAAAATGCAGCGTTTAAAACGTAAAATATTACTGCTACAGGTGCTATATAACTGCAATTTATTGTAATTTTTGCAATGGATATTCGAAAATTTCTAATCAAAGGACAGAAAAGAAAATTCGACAACCTACGGGATGATGAAGAAAAAACAATTTATGATGGCAACGGCGAAGAGAATAATATTAACAGCGGTACAGACAGGACTGATGATAAACCTTTGAACAATACGAACGTCAGTGATGGATTAAGCTCTAATAGCATTAGCAACAACAATTCTCTGTCTTTGGCAAGTACAAGTAGTTCTGATGTTGTTCATATGAATATAAGACGTGAAAAAGCTACAGAATGTTTTAAACACACACGTTACAACGGTAGACATTATGTTACATGTGAAGTCTGCTTGAAATTTCCAGATATAGTTAAACGATTTAGTAAAAATTCGAAACAACCAAGCATTACACTATCTGGCGGTACAATTTTTCGAAACGCAGTTTTAATGGACCATATTAAGTCTCCATACCATACAGCTGCAATGAAAGCTTACCGACTTAATGTTCTTGACGATAAACAAAGCATTTCAAACGCTCCTATGAACATTCATTTGAAAAAACTAAACAATGATCTAGCAACTACCATTGGAAAATTAATGATTAGTGTTTACAATGATGCAAAACACCTTTCTTTATCTGCCTGGAGTTGGCCATCAAGAACGGTGCATCTGAATTAGCAAATCAATTTGTGTATCAAACTGAGGTGCCCCCAGAAAATAAAGTAGAAATTCGTTACGTGACCCCACCGTATCATAGTGAATTACTCTCCTGCATTGTCCAAGGTAGTTTACCTACATTTAAGGAAGAAGTTACGAATTCATTAGCCCTTTCACTGCGAATAGATGGCTCTATTGACAGGACGCAAATTGACAAAATTTATGTACTGGGTAAAATTGTAACTAAATCTGGCGAACTAAAAACGTTTTATCTTGGGGTGGCGGAGCAGTCAGAGAGAAGCGCTTCAGGTCTTCTACAAGCTGTGAAAAGTGCTATTAATGAGACCTGTGGAAATTATAAGTGGATATTTTTAAAAACATCGTCCATTGTTACGGATGGAGCAAGCATAAATACAGGGCATGAAAATGGTTTATGGAAACTTATTGAGGAAGAAATTAAAGCAATGGAAGGTAAAATTCCTCTTATAAAAATTTGGTGTGCAGCTCACAGAGCGCAACTAGCTTGGAAAAGCGTCACATGTGGCAGGAAATGCGTTAATGAAGCTAGTTCAATTATTTCATCTACTGAAAGCATTTCCACCTATTTTAGAAGATCTTCAGTACGCACTTCACAACTGAAATTGATTGCAGAGGAGCATGGGACTGAGTACTTTCACTTTCCAAAATCTTTTGAGATTCGCTGGGGACAGCATACCCATCATTTACTGTCAATAATATTGAAATCTTGGCACTCACTTGTGCTCTATTTTCAGTCTACGGATGACAAAGAGGCAAAAACAAATGGTTTTTTGTCTTTTTTGACATAATTACAATCACTGAAACTCATTTGCGCCATTACTGATATTTTGTCAGTATTTGTTAGACTACAGTTAAAATTACAACTTGACTCACTAACGTTAATTGATATGGCTGAAAATGTTAATGATTGTATCAGATCTTTAGATAGTCTTATTAGGGACAAATTGGCAGGTGGCTGGGAGGAGTTATTAGATAATTCGCTTGTCTACGATGAAGACAATAATATCACGCTAAAAAATATTCACATTACCGATGTTCCAGAAAGACGGAGATCTAAACATCACTTATATGTTACAGATCATAGAAACTTTGAAGCGATACGGGGAGAAATTATTTTATCTTTAAAAGAATTTCTTAAAGAACGTTTTCATATCGACCAAACACTACTGTCAGCGATCACACCATTTGTACGATTAGACGAAAATGCCCCTCTTAATGAAATTCACAATCTTATTGCACACGATCTTGATTTTGAAGAATTATCTTTAGAATACAACGACATTTGTACTAAGGAAATACTCAAAAACAAAAGTTTACATGAGTTAGTGAAATATCTGAGTATGTTACCTGTTGGAAAAAAAGAAATGTTTTCAACAATATTAACATCATTTGCAAGAATTTTGGCCGCTACACCACATTCTGCTGACGTTGAAAGATTAATTAGCGCTAACAATCTTATAAAAACATCATTAAGATCGTCAGTGAATATTTCTACCGAGACAAATAATTTATTTGTTCATTACAATGGACCAGATTTGATCAATTGGAATCCTCGTCCATCCATTCAAAAATGGTTTGAAATAAAAGCGCGACGACAGTCCATGCGATCTTCCGAAAATCCTGTAAGTCGACGCCAAGAATACTTTAAGGGAGTTTTTCCTGAAGCAGCGACACATATTGAAACCAAAGAAGTGAAATATAACACCAAAAAGTTTTAAAATTAATCATACGAATATTGTAGCATCACTGTTCGGTGTTATAGGCATGTATGACCTGCCATTTTAATTTTAACCTGTTGATTTTTATACTTTTTTTTTAGTAATTTATTATAATCATGGTCATATATACGTAATACAAAAGAATGGGACTGACGGTAATCCTGTGTACGTGTAGTATTTTTATGTTATGTCTTTTAATTTGTCTTTTAGTTTACTTAGTACATATATGCAATGCAATACGTTTTTTCTTATAAGTGATATTATGCACATATAGTCCAAAGGCTGTTATTAGTTTTGTTTTTCAACAAAATTTAGTTCGTTTTTTTTTGTTTCATTTATAAACTTTTGTAATGTACCTTTAAATAGCTACATATGTGTTAATAACGTCTATAATATATATTATATTTTTGTTTATATTTTTACAATATATTTATTTTGAATTGCGTTTTGTTATTATTTAGTTATTTATTATCAATAGTGCTGGTATTTTCACAAAATCGACACAATAATAGTGCGCTTTAATGTTTTTTGACGAGGTTGGGGAGTGAGGACAGAGGAGGGATTATGCCCGTTTGTGCAGTTGGAAATTTGCCTTAATTTAGGCACTGACAAGTATTACTGCTTTACTATGTACTTCGCAAAATGTATTTTTTTTTTGTAAAAATTAATAATTAATAAAATTCGTTTGCAGTTTTTTATTCAGTTTATTTCCATATTTCAGGTCAAATGGTTTTAGCGTTTTTCTTGTAACTTGTAAATATCATAGGGAATTTATTACTACAAATTTAAACAGAACAGCTACATTGTGGTGCAAACTACCGCCATCCTTCAAACAAGAACAATATATTTTATGATAGCGTTTAGTAAGTACAAAATGTTCGTCTAGACTCTTCAGTTTCATAACGATAAATTTTTAGTAATACGGTCCTGATATTTAGAAGCTCGTTTAAATTTTTGTTCAGAATGTACCGTGGAAGTGATCAATAAGTTACTGATAACTGGCGGAAAACAGAAACTTAGGGACTTCGTTTTTCAGCGATAACTTTGTAAATTCTTCATAAATTGAAATTCTGTCAAACAGTTTTAAGAAAGAGATATTCTTTAACGAATTTCGTGTTGTCAACTGCTCACAACCATTCGTTTTAAAATAATGGAAGAAATCCTTAGACACAATCCATTAGAGAAATTTCAAATGTCCCGCTCCGTATTAGTGACTTTCACTCTACAACTAGTGTCACCTTTTTTTGTCAAAAATCTGTCAGCAACTGTCAAGTTAAAAAAATTACAATGTTTTTATTCAATATCTAAACAATAAAGGCCTCTGCAAAACCAATCGATCGCTAAAAATGAGCTCCGGATTCATCACTGAAGCTGAAATAGCCGAAGCCAGGAAGAAACGGCAAGAAGAATGGGAACGAGTCCGAAAACCTGACGACCCCTTGGGTAATTAAAATCTAACCTCTTTCACATTTTCTGGGCGATTTTCCGGATTTTTAAATGTTTTCTTCGTTTTTCGTATAGTCAGGCCCGAGGAACCGTATGATCATCGCAGCTTGTACGAAAGATTACAAGAACAGAAACAGAAAAAGGACTTGGAATATGAAGAAGCACACAAATTAAGTAAGTAGTAAACAACCGCTAAACAATGACGTTGATTTGGTGATATAAAACTTTATGAGTCATTACGTGTGTTACTTAACCTTAAATTAGTTGGCTCATTATATAATGGATAAATTAACTGTAATTCTTGAGTTTTGACAGCTAGAGTTGAGCCACAAGTTGGTGTCCACCATATTTTAGTTTTTATTTGTGTTGTGTGTTTTCTGCTGGAAACGCACGTGTATCATTGATAAAACTTGTTTGTCCTTGCTGTGACAACTATTACTGTCAATAGAATTTGCCAGAACTTTGCACATATCTTATCAAAATACAAATTTTTGATTAGAAAGCACTCAAACTTTTCAAAAATCAAAATGTTGCACCAATATTATGACCAAACTGAAGGTAAAACTTTGCAAAATTTTATTTACTTACGTGACGCTAATCCCCTCTTTCAGAAAATATGATAAAAGGTCTTGATGATGACGAAATTGAGTTTCTTGACCTAGTGGATCGGACAAAAATTGCAGCTGATCGCAAGAAGGAACTAGAGGAGGAATTGGAATTGAATGATTATAGAAATAGAGTGGCCACGCTGCAAGAAAAGACATTGGAAGAACGACTACAAGCAGAAATATCCGTCACTAAACCGAAATCAGTTTCTAATCGACCATCCCAACAAAAGTTGCTCAAAGGTGTCGTTATTAAAAAGAGTGAAGGTCTGAAGAGGAAAAGCAGCGATTCTGAAGCTAATGGAAATGAAAAAGACACAAAACGCCAAAAGTTGGAGAGTGAAGAAAATACCCAAAAGACAGATAGTGAAAATGTGAAAACTGGGGATCATAGTTCTGGGAAAGCTGTGGTTCCTAATACGGGTTTGCAATGTGTGGGAATTCTACCTGGATTGGGATGCTACAACGAATCAACTTCTGATGAGAATAGTTCAGATTCAGAAGTGGAACATAGCAGTTCAAGGATGGATATGTTAGGAAGGAAAATAGTTAATAAGTCAAAGGAGTCATGAGCTGTTCATTGCATGGGGATTGTTTGTGAGTTTTAGATACCAGTTAGTGATAATTTGTCACAATTTCAGAGATGTAACATCTCTTTTTTAAATGGGTGTTTACATGTACATAGTATGTAATAAATTTATTAATACCAATTTGTGTTTGTAGTTATCAGGGGCTCAATTTCTAAGTATTTTTTTTACTGGTTTGTTGCATTTGAAAATGTGTTACTGATTTAACAGACATGAGGAGTCATGTTTGTTGTTTGTGTAAAAGTGTTTTAAAAACTGGGCAAGCTTATGTAATGAACAGTTTTCTTGTTTATTATATTCACTTCTAATATTTTGATTTTTTTTTTGTAATTCCAAGACATTACATTTTTTTTTCAATAAATAAAGGTATGAGTTGTTATTTATTAATTACTCTAAAGTTTTCTAGGTTGAAAATCCGTTCTTTTCCATGGTGGTTGAATTTCACATAGTTATTATTACTAAAGCTTTTTTTTTATTTTCGCAATACTGTAGTTAGAGAAAATGTGTGTGGGAGAGTGAATGATTCAAACATCCGTTATGTCTGAAGAGTTTAAATTTACATTTAAATGCCAAGTTCTATAATTTGACACATAAGTTTTCATTGATTATATTTTTTCCGAAATAACAAAAAAAAAAACTAAACATTTTTCTTTATTCAGACAAATATCGAGGGAGCAATAAACAATACCATTAATGACGGCTATGAATTTTTGAAGATCTGTCTTTGATTGGTGCATTTTCAACTGAAACTTTCACATTGACGATAATCTGACAAGGCAAAATTCAAATTATTTGATCATGTTTTTATTTCTCTCTCTGTATTATATATTGTGTCACAAACATGCATGTATAAATTTACGTTTTCAGTGTTGCCGAAGTATAAATTCTATTCTTGTGTAAACAATCTACATTTGCGTGACTCGGCGACTGAAAACTTTTTGAGTTGCAATAGTTTATGATATATCCGTGTGGTTGGTACTGTTGATCTGAAAACGAGACTACGTCAATTCCAACCGAGGGAGCGTGTTTTTTTTTTGGAGACTACATGACCCGCCCGGTTTATGGTCCGCTGAATAGGCGGAGACATAAAAAGCACTACAAGGGAGGATATTGTATGGGCGGAGCGAGTTTTAACTTTAACGTTACTGTGAAATGTGACAAATTATCTTTTGTTTTGTCTAGTGGTCAATTACAGACGTATGGTTAATGGGAGAGTGGAATAATTTAGAAAAAGTAGATCTAGCATGTTGCACAAGTTTTTTATGCAATTTCATTTTCATAATTTTAACAATTTTAAGTTGGAATATTTGGAAATTTAATATACATATGTATGATTATGTCATATCGACTACAGAAAAGAGGTTGGAAGCCAATTTAGAGTAAAGTAGGGGTGGGGAGTATTTGACGGAACAGGTATTTCGGAACTGTTACCAACGTGGAACAGGAACAAGTTGTTATCGAAGATTCGAAATAACAGTTATTCGGGATAAAGCTGTTCCTTTAAAATAAAAGTCCGCAAAACTGGTTTTATAAGTGAAACTAGCGATTTGCGATGATAAATTTAAATATATAATATAATAATACAATAAATAATAATACATATAAGCAGAAAGGTAAAAAATAGAGAATTATTTGGAATAAAGAATTTTATTTAATAAAGGCACTGTTGTAATTGGATGCAGTGATACAAAATATTCAAGATTTAATATATTTTTTAATTTAGTTTTTTTTCCAATAAAATAGTAAACTAAGAAATTAGATAACAGCAACGAGAAACAACATATAGGAACGTCAATTTTCTCTTACAGGCTACGTTGGTTATAAATAAAAATTATTAAATTTTTATATTAAATCAAAAAAAATCTTAAGTAACAATTTCAGATTCCGAAGGCAAAATCCGAAGACCAAAATCGTAACGTAACGATAACGAGTACGTAAAGAACAAATAACAGTTTTATCTGTAGCAGAGCCGCATAGTAGGTATACGGGATGAAAGTGTTCTTCCTAGGAAACGCAATAACAAATTGTTCCAGAATCACTGTTATTTGGAACTGTTCCTAAAATGGAACAGTAACAAATTGTTCCTGTTCCTCAAAAAAGTAACAGTTCCCCATCCCTAGAGTAAAGGAACAATTAATATTATTTAAGGCTTGATCCAAATAATATGATGTGTTAAGTGAATCAGAAATTGATTAAATTTTTGAATTAATGCTCGTAATTGAAACAAGAAATGTGACTTTCCGTAACAAATATTTGTTCAATCAGTTCAAGTATTAATGTAAATAAATTATATAATCTCAAAGGCTTTAAATTTTTTAGAAAATTACAATAAATTGAATACATATAGCTACCGTTCAAAAAATCCTCTGAAGTGATACCAAGAGTGATACTGGTAATATTAGAATCTCCAATAATAATTAGATCAGGTTCAGTTAAGTTACTTATATTTGGTTCATGATATCCAAAAATTTATATTTTATTTTATTTACTAACATTTTAGATGTTTAAAAGTTTTGCAAAAATGTAGAGTAAGTTCTGTATTTACTGAAAATTCATAATTTTAGTGAATACAGCAGTTTAAACTGTGTATACATATGCAAAATATATTGGCTTGAAGTAGAATTTAGTTGGTTACTTTAACTTTAGCAATTTGAACGTAGGTATTGCAGTGCTATAATAGCCTCTAGAGAGATGGAATAATTCTCGGGTCTCCAAGATTAATTGCTGAGTAGCTTTACGGTTTATCGTTGTTTGCTATTCCTAGAAGTAAATGTTCTGAACACCAGCCTCTGTATTGTAAACAAAAACACTGAGAGACTAAGTAACCACTAAAAGAAATTAATCAAATTATGTAGAAGTTATTAATGTATTTATGTTAATAATTAACCAAGAGTTTAATTTTCTAAATGGAGATTAGCAATAGACACTAATTACGACGACTGTGGACTTTATAGGTAACGTTTCATTGTAGGGACTGTATTGTTTTTTTTTTAAATTACGTTTTTTATTATATACTATGCTCGGCTTAGTTACGAACCAACGTCAGGATAATGCAAAGGTAAGATTATTCAGGATGCAGAAGTATAAGTATGATTAAAATATTAAATATTAAACCATCAGAAATTCGAATGAGAATTTATTTTTTTTGTATGGTGTATTTTATCTTCTAGTTTTACTTTTTTCCTCAGTAATTTCTGAGAATATCTGTGTAATAAACTGGTAACAGACAGACGGAAATATGGTAAACGCCAAGAAACCTTACGTTCATAAACGCACTATACAGGTTAGTAGTATAAAGTCCCGGAACGGTCGAATAACTTCGTTATTTGAAAAGTTTTTTTTTCTGAAATTTGCTTTGGATATATAGTTAAACTTAGCGGCTTAATTACAATAGTTTTTCTATTTTTATCGCTCTCGGTTTGACAGACAGGGCTGCCTACTTTTTTTTTTATGGAACACCGACATTTTTTTTACATTTTCTGAAGCAGAATAAAAAACTACTTTCAGAAATTATCAACATGTTTATTTCTACTGATACCAAAAAATAGAAAAAAAATCACAAAAAAAAAAAAATACCTAGGCCCGGTTTATAGCAAGCGAATTTATTTAATCGTATATTAATTTAACACAGGATTAAAATGTAGATTCTGAGCCCGTGATTGGTTAAAATATGCACGTTGCCTAGCCACGAACCTCAATTAAAAGTTATAATCGCGGATTAACTTTAATTCGCTTTTTATAAACCGGGTCTTAATATTGTAAAATCATATATAATGCATTAAGACATTTTGTTGATCGATTATATAACTGCCAAATTGTAAACGGAGAACACTTGAAACATTTATTGTAGTCCCACTTATGGTTTATTATTTATTAGTATTTTCAGAAACGACGTGATGGACCTTCTGTGTCAAACCGAAAACGATAAAAAAAAGGAAAAATATTGTAATCAGGTCGCCATGTTTAACTATGTATCCATAAGTCGTTCCGGGATTTTATATTAACTCTGTACATTTCGTCGAACTTTAAAATCAGATGTTTATCACATGACGCCTGGATGCCGATATTATATCCAAGACAAGTGGTCCAAATTCCAAACAGTCTAAAAATTTCCGTATAAATGTGACAAATTTCGAATTGCTTCAGTAATGTTTCCTTGATATTGAAGAAGTGATGACATATGTTGAAAACAAGAAATCAAAATAAGATAGGTACATTTTAAAAAGTTACTAATAATATTTTAAGATATAATAGGTACTAGGTTCCCATTTTTGGACAGGACTCACTCAAGGTTAAAATTATTGTAAATAATTTATTTCAAATTTTAAATACTATATAATCTGTTTAATGGTTTGTAGAGAAATTTTAGTCAAAGCGTTAAGAAATAGACGAGAGATAAACGCAAGGGACAAAATCTTATTTTTGTGTTCTATGTGCTGTAAAACGTCGTCGAGAAAACATAAAATTTGAGATGATTCTATTGAAGTACTTTTGAGTCACCTGTCGGAAAGTAAAAAGTTCGATGAATTATATTTATCAACCCACCAATACAATTTCTGTTACATTAATAATGAACTTGGAAATTTCAATTTTGCCTAAAAGTAGCTCTGACTACAAAAAACAGAAAAAAAAAACGGCATAAAAAATAAGTTTTCGAAGGCATTCGACTGTATTAGTTATAAATTATTGCTGCATAAGATGTAATTTTTCGGTTTTTCTAAATCACTAATCCTACTTTTTGATTCATACCTTTCAGGCAGGTACCACTATGTAATTTACAAAGGTTTGTCCAAATATCGGGAGTCCCACAGGGTTCAGTTTTGGGGCCTCTGCTCTTCACATGTACGTTAATGATATAGTGCAAAAGGTTAAAAGAGATTGCTTGTTATATGCAGACGATCTTAAGATGTTTTATGAAATTAGATCTACTGACGATTGCAAAGTATTGAGTTACTGTATGAATGGTCTGTTACCAACCAAATGCCAGAAATAAGTCTTTAATTACTTTCAATTATACTTTGCATGGTTTTGTATTACAACGGCCTGAATTCATTCGAGACCTTCGAGTTACTTTTGACTCAAAACTAAATTTTGCCGAGCATATCAGGATAATACTGGCGTCAGCAAACAAGTCCCTGGTATTTGTTATCCGCAACTCCAAAGAATTTCAGGATATTCACATTGTGAAATTATTGTATTTTGCTTATGTCAGATCCCGCCTGGAGTACTGTTCTGTGATTTGGAGTCCTATATATCAGGTCTATTATATCAGCGCACTAGAAAAAATTCAGCGCCGTTCGTTAAAATATATAC